GATGAATCTGTGATTGTACAATGTACGATCATACCAAATATGGACAATTTCAGTTCAAACTCATAGTTTGATTGTGTTGTATGATGGTCAATGCTTTAAAGAATCAAGAATGACTATCAAGTCAATTTGTAGTAGAAACAAGGAATATTCAATCATTGCCTATTCCAAAGCAATCACTAGAAAGTATTCCATTCTACGTGAATACAGCTGTAAAATGAGTGACAGTATCAAGGTGTAGATCTAATAAAACAATTTGTAAATAAATATGGTCAAGTTGAAAGAAGGATTGATGGAATGTTACCAATAGCATGATGTAACGGCTTGCCATCCAGTCGGTCCCATACACAAGTAGTTTCACGCTGATTAGTGATGCCAATAGCTAATATTATTATATCGAGAACATCAGCCAAACCATAAACGTAACGATTAGTGTTAATAGTACGAGCCAGTCCCTTTGATCCACACAACGACATTAAACTAACCTTTGATATCCAATGGCTGCAAGCCCATAGCAGACATGTCAACGACTGTTTTTTGAATACAAGTCACTACTGTCTGGTAAATGACTTCCAAATCATGCTCGACCCATCTAACATTCACAATAGTCAGACTGGCTGCATATCAGCACACTCGTGCATAGCAAGACCAACAACACACCCAGCTTGTGGCAGCACTTGAGCAAATTCTGTCTGATGAGAAGCAATAATATGGCCAGCAGTATCAAACACCATAAAACGAGTGGAACTAGTCCCTTGGTCGATCGATCCAATGTATTGTGGCATCAAGTGATGTGAGAGCAATCAAAGGTTGCTATAGGGATAAGAAAAGTCTTGCTTGTTGTAAACGCATTCATGCTACACAGCATCCAACATGCAATCATTAAATATAAGCTATTCATGCACCATTCGTAAACTGTTGTCTTGAATATACAAATGCAGTGTTTTATTCTTGACTATATGCTGTTACATTCTATTGCACATTCCAAACTCTTTGCAATACTGTGCAAGGGATATGGTTCAGTATAGCTTAATCAGTTTGCAATCAGCTTGCAATCA